GTGCCTTTCAAAACTACACCTTTATATGTAGCGCATTTATATGTAGTATCAGAGAACGATCAAATGTATTTGACTAAACAAAATATAGCTGATTTATTTAAATATTTATCCATATCCTTTCTTATTAATCATAGTATATTCATCTCATTCTTAACTTAATTGGCTTTTTACATACATTGGTGCCGCAACTAGATAGCGTTCCCATCTTTGGCGATATTTCTTGTTTCTACGACTTTTTCATTGTTTATTACTGATATTCTCTGACAGCATTGCAATGGACAGTATATTTTGACACATAAATAGAACAAATCTATCTCTGCTTTCGAGATTATGTAAATAACGCCCCCCGAATCCGACCATTCTTACGATCCTAATTATTTTGCTTCTTTGATTCGTGCCACGAGCCATTAATAAAGCATCATCATTAACCTAGTCAAGAGTATTATGTGAATGACCCTTCAGCCACTCCTCAATCGCCGCTTCGCAACTATCATGAAATCTGACCTACATTTCATCTACTGGATTTCGCATTTTCTTGCTATATTACGGCAATATCCTGTTGTAGCATTAAACTAATAATAGTATACTTCGTCTCGAGTAGATTTCCGAGACTACCAGTAAATCAGATACATGGTCAGTGCTCCACCTTCGTTTAAAATGATAAAGAACTAATAGTTAAATTTTCCCACAATTACATGAGTAGATGTATTTCCTGTTGAATTTCACAGCCTTGCTTTCCAACCTAGGATGGGAATTGTGGGAAAATCCAACTACCAGTCCTTCATCACCTTAAGCGGAATAGAGTGAACACAGCTCATGTATAAGTTAATCAAATGGTCCATCCACCTGCATATTCCTAAATACTTGTTCGAGTTCTTCGCTTTCCTTTGTATTGGTAAACGGTCTAACGGCTATTGTATAATCTTCTGAGCTCTCAGTCATAACCGGACTTGTTATAATTGCAAAGCATTTTTTTTAGCAATAAACGAGACCGACACGTGATTTTGCTATACACAGCCCTGGTAATTTTGCTTTCTTTACTAACCAGGAGATTCAAAGCTGTAGACACCATCGTATCCTGACTCCTTAGTGAATCTATTTATCCCATCACCTTTTTCTTTGACTTAAAGGGCTTCTCCAGATTTTTTTATGTTATCCAATTTTGAGATAGACGTCAACACACCTACTCGATTATTTAGGAGCCAGGGATACTGTCAAAATTAGGCTAATATACTATCTAGGCATTCAGTCACTAGCTAAATGGGGCCAAGCACGCTTCCACAGCCAAGCCCCGTGCTCGCCTGTAATTATAAAAATCGAAGGCATTAAGATTAAGGTCCATCGCGGTGTCCTTTTGTTGCTCGACCCTACTTTTAAAACTTGGTCATATTGGCAGGAAGACCTAGAGGAATGCATCCTGTCCAGCGTCCTGCCACTATGAAAGTTGCGAAAATAAGCCCAAGCGACTTCTCGAGTGCTGATCGCTGATATTGCGTCTGGTCACCACCCCTGGTTCAGCGACTCAATACTTTAAATAGCCTTGCGGTGATTAGCGAGATCGGAACCCAGATCAGTCGGATTAACAGGGTGTATTTAATACACACAAATAAGGTTAACTCCGGAGCTAACCTCTATGCAAATCGAAGCGGCAATAATAAATTGATCGTAGATATCAAGACCAAGATGCGATGGGCTTTATCCTGGTCGCCGTCTCTATTTGATACATAGAAGCGGATTGACCTCGCTTGCCCAACCTGCTCGTGTTTTTAGGTAGATATAGTAAGATGCATCTTGTACTAAATCCTCTGGTAGAGTTATGATAATCTACAGCCTTGGACCGTATACTTCGTGCGAATCTCTTGACAAGTTGTCTGGTGCTGAGAATGGTAAGACTCACTGACAATGCCGGTTAAATTTATTGGAACATACCAAGTCCAACACTAGGAATAATAACTAGCATATCAGATAACCTCTAAAAAGGTGTATCCGACTAGGTCAGACTAACCCTAATAAATTAATTTTTCGTTTATTTCTAGCCCTGGGTCCATTTATTAGTGTCGGTATTTCCCATCGCTTATTATCACCATTCTGCTCAAACTATTTTGTGCATCACAAATCGCAAACATGCTAGACTTCTTCCATCACGACCTATATATTTTGTTAAATTATTTATTTTGGATATGTATTTCCAGGAGATATCCGACTCACTCCGAACAGTTTATCCTCATGGAAGTCCAGAGCATTTTATTAATTTCTTAATGAAATTACAAGGATACTAGCGAGTTATAAAAGGGGTTACGATTAAATAACAAAACAATTACTAAGTAATAAAATGTTGTGGATACTTTCATTTCATATGAAAGTGCATGATCAAGAGATCCTTAAGTCGATCTCACCAGACGATGATTGAATTCCGTTCTACTTCATCCGCTTGATTCAGGCAGAAACGAGCTGAGCCTTCGTTTGTCACGTGACTTAGTGCTTATCTTATGCTTTTGCAAGAATAAGACAGTTCTGATGATGTATATCATGACTAAGGAAAGCTCAGCCTATTATCGCCTGAGACGTGAGGATTACTCGTAGACTGTTAACCTGAAAGTCGTATGTAGTAAAGCAAACGGATGTAATAAAACGGGAATCAGCCACCATCCTCTGGTGAGACCGACCCGCGAATCTCAAATACAAATACGAAATGAGTCTCCACAACAATATTATCTCGAGGGATAATCTAAACCCATTTTTTCCTTGCATATGTAAATATAAAGTAAAAGATTTAAATAAATACTCATTATGAGAATATTCCATGTTTTTGTAAACACTGGCATTCAAAAAACCGTTAAGCAGTCTATTATATATGATTGAAAAATATATCATTAGATATCAGAATAATTTGTAAGAGGCTAAAATTCCCGGCGTATAATGGGCCATCAAGGCTCGTGCGAAATTAAGGAAGAGCAAAGGCGAACCAAACTACATGAAGACACGTGACAAAATAAAGTACAAAACTATCAGATCAGTTGTAACTATGATAGAAAAAGACCGAAATTTGAGTAAGTAAAATTCAATAATCGTGTTCAAAAACTTGGTTAAACGATGAGAAACAAAAAGAATAAGAGCAGAAACTGCCATTATTTTTTAATTTTAATTACCGTCACGAAGATAAAAGAGAAAAAGGCTATAAAAAGGAAAGTTGATGAGCGGCAGGATCTCTACCATTGTTAAGCAGACTGAAGAGACGAGACTCTATACTATTGAGAAGGGAACTGGCTCCAATGCGGTAAAGCTCGGGAACCATCCAATCCGGACCAAGCTTCATAAATACCAGGCTGGAAAATGCAAGAGCATCCTTCCAGGTACGCAGGCCGCCAGCGGGCTTGAAGCCAACCTAGGGAGAGAGTGAAGTGAAAAGTTTGGCAGAACTGTGCTAATAGGTTCTGAGGTTCGAACACAGTTTAAAGCTGTCCATCGACACAGCCATAGAATCGGGCCTTAATACTCGAGACAACACGGTTTAATCATCAGAAATTTAAATTTCTGGCCTCAATTAATAATACCAACTTTCCCGTATCAAATAATGAGCGGTGAAGTGGTAAAATATTAATTCTACATAACTGGTACTGCTTTTGTTAACAAGTGTACGTAAACACAAGATGCGTGTAAAACTGAAGCAGGGGTTCACTATTCTGTAGTATTGATAAGCAAATAGCAAGATAAGGAATTTTTAAGGAAAATGGGGTAAACGGTGTAAAAAGGTTGATATTTTCACCATCCCGCGAACTGGCCTGAAGGATGCTGCCACCGCCAATGAAAATGAATGTCGGTGCGAACCCGAAAGGACAAATCCTCACTTAAAAAACTTACCAACACAATATAAGGTGGATAAGTGGATTACTCTAAAGGTTACTGTAACAAAGAAAATAGCTCTATACGAAGAAAAATGAGGGAAAAAGAAATGATAGACTTCCAGCGATAGTAAATCAAAAGATGTAAACCGGTTGAAACTAGCAGAAACATTGAACAAAAGCCACAAGATCGAGAGGATTAGCTTGATACAATGTAAATATGAGTAGAATAATTATTCCTACTAGATTACCAGCGAGATGTATGAGAATACACTTATACAACAGTCCGATGCCGAAAGAGGATAGGGTAACAATGACAGACGAAAATAAGCCAAGAACGAGGTCGAGCTAATTCCATGCAGCTTTATGAACTGGCGCATACCTGGGGGAGCACTTCAGTCGCTTCAAGTAATTTCTGAATAAAAAACAGTTTCTAAACAAAATGTACGCAAACAGGAAACGTGTAGAGGATTTTTATCTTAGTCTGAGGTTTTGATGATGCGAGCTGGTAGATTTTTCTTATGCGAAAAAAAATTAAGTTTCGAGGAATCTCTTGTTTTATAATTGTTGAGCTTACTTCCATTTCGAGTGGAAGTGTTGGGTGAAG